ATTGGAGTAAGGCCAAAATATCGGCGGTTGAATGGTCTTATCTTCCGTCGCCCTCAGAAATCGCAATCAGTAGAAGATGGTAGGAATTCATTCCATTGGTGTTTGATGCCAGTATGAAGTCAAGTATGTTACAGAAAAGGTGCACAGCAATATCATTTATTGCAAGCATCTTGTAGAAAAGTCAACCTTCCTCAGAGGTTATACCTTATGAAAGCGTATCCTTAGATTTGTGTAGTTTCTTCGATTGGCAAATAATTTTGAACTGAAACTGCAGCTCTGGTTTCCAGACTGTGTAAAGAAACTCATAAGTTATCAATATAGGGGGGGCTTTATTGTAAACTAAATGAGGAGTATACCTAAATGGGTGTTGCTTAAGTACAAAATATTCGCAAAAAGAAAAATACATCCCTTCTGCTTGTTGAGCATTCTAAGAAGACGTAATTCATTAACAAGTGCGCACAAGATTACATACTATCCTTTCTGTATCTGAATTTCTAAGAGCATCTCCAATCGATGGATTAGGAAAGAAGATCACTCGACATCTTGACATGACCGAAACATCACAGGACGTTAATTAACAAAAATCGTTGTTCCAAAACCACTTCAGTGATACCTAATAGACGAAAAAGGATTTCAGAATTGTTTATTCCCTCGTAAAAATGGTGACAGTCTTTGTTCTTTAGGTGGAAATTACTTCACGTTTGTACATACTGAGTGCACACCAGCGAAAACTAGCGAGTATTTCGCTTGAAGATCGACGACTTCGTCTTCACTGATGGAGGGCTAATTCACCTTGCTTGCTGCATTCTTCACTGTAAGCAAATCTCTCCGTGACTACTGATATTCCTAAGGGACATAGCAAGCGACTATGAGATCTCGTTTTATTACTCTACAGTAAAAATCTATTCTATTGAACACAACATGATTCCATCAGCAAGAACAGCAGTGATTAGTTAGGTAAATTTGGAGGAGACGGATGGAAGGATTGATTGACCAGTAAGTTTACCTTTTGTTGAGTCTGCTCTCTGTGGCAAATAAGCCTATTCTCTATTAGAAGTAACTTAGTCAACGCCAACTTTCTCTAGTTACCCAGAACAACATTCACAAAAAAACAGCCTGCTGGATATTTTACAGGCATTTTTGAAAAAGGCCTCTACTAGGCAGACGGCGTACGTTTGATCAGACGATAAGTTCCAAAGTTAAACTCCACTGGGTTCAAAACGTCGATAAGTGAATAAATTTCAACATGTGCCGCGTTGCCTGCCTCATTCTTCTCGTCATAATTTATCGCCCTTTATTTTTCTATTCTGTTGTTGCACACAAGTACGAACACAGTAAATATCCGCAACTTAGACACGTGAATATCTGCAAAAAATAAACGGATAAGAGCCTAGGTACTCAAAACATTCCTTTTGAATTTGAAGTTAACAAATCATCTCCCCGGCCTTTATGAAAGATTATCCACAAGAAATGCTATTCGCCTGTTTCTTCTATGCTCATCATCCTGTCCATTCAAGTGACCAAATTAAACAGGGTTGATAATCTGGACT